AGAGAGAGAGAGAGAGAGAGAGAGAGAGAGAGAGAGAGAGAGAGAGACTCCTGCGCATCATTAAGTTCAAGTTAGTCAAATACAATATGATACATAGACTTTTTTTTTTATCCTATACAGTATATACAGGTGCAGGGAGGAGGGAGGAGAATCCTGCCTTCTCAGACACTGTAATATGGGGAAAATGGGGGAATAAAATTATCCCTCCCTCAAAGAAGTGCAGATCTACCACTGGGGAAGGGACTTATCTAAAGTCCTTTGTACAATTCCTCCCATGATTCAAGGGGGGCTTATTGTGAAATCTGGGGGAGAGGAGGGGAATTTCGTAAGTTTTGCTACAGTCTAGGCAGGTTGCTGTGGATGTCGCAAGGCTCTCCCCTGCCCGTATACTGCTCTCTATTCAGAAAGTGTAGGGAAAGTTCCACATACCCAAATGAGCTAGAATTCCCAATTCAATGGCAAAAAAGTGAGTCTTCCAGCAGCAATTGCCCCATGAAAACACAAAGGGAGGGAAAGGGAGGTTTCTCCAGAAAGAGAGAAAATTGGTGCTACCAATTATAATTGGGAACAAGGAGCTTGGCAATAAATATTCCTATTAGAAGCAAAAATAGAAGTGATCGCTATTAGTGTACGGATGGATGGCTTCCCTTCCCTCCAAACAACCGTTATTTGGCAGAGATGGAATTAGAGTTGTTGGAGAATAGGGGTCATACTTCCTGATTAGACTATGGATAAAAGAAGCTAGACACTGTATAAAGGGTGGCCAATGCACCACCTCCCCACGCTCAATTCTCAACTCTCCCTAAGGAGAAGTAAAGTTCTTGATGGAAGAGATGGAGGGTAGAACTCCAGGAGAACCTGGTCCTTCTCTTTTCACCAATCTTACTACTGTCAACTCACTCCACGGTGAGAAACCAAGAAGCCTTTCGACTCTAAATCACACCACACTACCATTCCTATGACTTTCCTTAAGAGTTCCCCTATTCTCAATCCCCTCCTGAGCAGGGAGCAAGGCTGTTCAATTAGATATTTATACATTTATATATATAAATAATATTTCTCTGTACAGCCAGGGCAAAAGGGAAAAGGGTGTTCCAACCATCCAATTATTTGATGAGAACCCTCTTCAACGTGTCCTGTCTGCCATAGCAAACCTCCACCTTCCACCACCATAGCAGAGGCCTGTCCTGTGTCCTGATTAAGGAAGAAAGAAACCCCCAAGGAGAAGGGGGAGTGGTGGTGGTGGTGAGAGCTGAGTCTGAACTCGTTGCCTGTAATGGTACCCCTCGACTTTCCTCTCCCCACTTCCTGCTCTGGCTCTGCAGAGGGACAGGCGTTAGGCGGCCCCTCCAGGGGCGTAGCTCTGATGACGGTGTCACGCACATTTGCTTTGCGCCTGAGTCAGCAACTCACTGAAGGAGTCAAAGAGTTTCTCCAACCATGGCTGGTTGCGCATGCACTGCTGCACCACCTCCTCCTGGCCCAAATCTTCGTCTTGACCCTCAATTGCCGTTGTCTAGAAAAGAGAAATGAAAAGGTTAAAAAAAATGAGTCATGAAGTACGAAAATAGCTAAAAGAAATAAATAAATAAC